GAAAGTTAACCTTGACGGAAATCCTCGCTGCATAACTTTCAATGCGCTAGACATTCCAGAGCACTTCAGCTGCAGCAAAATTTGCGCACCATCAAAATGATTGGATTTCATTTCCGAATTGGGTTTAATACACCGCACAAAGTGTGTTCCCTCAAACAAATGAGATTGGCAAAGCATTCACTGTAATGCTTTCGGTGATATTATGATAGCTTCAGAATAATACCAGAAGTTCATCATTTCACATATATTATGGAAACATTTACAAAATGACAAAAAAATTTCAATTAGTTCGGCAATCTACCGTTTCACGTAGTTTTGCAAGTAAAATATTAAGTTGTGAGCGAAATTTGTTTCCAACTGATGCATTCATTAATTTGCCCAACGACACATCTCTTTTTTCAGGATTTGAAAATTCGCTGTCGGTAAACAGTTCACAAACTAAGCTTTTTCTTAAACAAAATATTTTGGAAACGATTGCCGTAATTTTTGAAAAATCTGATTCCAGAAGATATTTTGAAATATTTCTTGCAATTAACTATTAGTTAAAAGATTATAATTTCGGAAAATATTTTTGAGCAACAAACCTGCTTTGTAGCATGAGACATTGTAGTGATCCATGTAAAGTATCATTATTCTTATCAAGAAACTGAGCAGTATCGTAACAAACATCGCCTGCGTAATGGCAAATAATAAAACCTTCATCATCACGCATCGTATAATGGCGACGTGATGACCTTGGTACCTGTTTAACGGCCTGTATAGTCATGTATCCTGTCTATATTTATATTCTCTTCTACTTACTCGGTGCAACTTCTTATTAAGTCCGACTAGCTTTCCACCCATTATTATTAGATGGTAAATTCCAAGTATAAAATTTCAATTTTACTATCGTAGGCATCACATCGGTTTCAGATGAGTAACCTGGTGTGAAGATATAGTGGAAGGTAAAAAATTCCAAGCAAATATAGATAATATTATTTTGTGATAGTATCTCACAATAAGCGATCTCAGCATGATATATCAGGCCGTAACAGCAGGTGAAATATGATCGGTGGTTCCTTATGAATGCCACCTACGGTTTTGATCTGAACACTATATAATGGCGAATAATTGCCGGCCTCGTAGAGCCGGTCGCTCATTTTTTTTCGTTTTGTTTTGAAATATCAATCAGTAATAATTCAGAAATTGATAGACCCTTATCGAATTTCTGGTTTATGATGCATAGCGAAAAGGCAGATAACATGAAAACGAACCATTAAACAAGGATGGTACATATGAGCTTCATGCACTGTTCTCGTGAAATGCTCCGCTGAGGATCGTGGTAAGCGTGATTCATTGTCCAATAGTTCAAAGATCCCGTGCAACTTCTGTTCAAACAATTCTACAACATGCACGAGTGGCAATGCTCTCTCTATGATATACTTACTATCGGATGCTCTTAAACTTTCCGTTAATTTAATTCATTCATGTTGCCCATAACATCACCATAGAATAATCAGCAAATGGATGGCAATAAATATTTAAAATTGTGATTGAGTATAGACCAGACCAATGCAATTTTTGTTGTCATTGAATTCAATTGTATCATAGTGTAATTGCTCTTTACAATATAAATCTTGTTCATCCATTAAAATTCGTTCATTGAAAAAATTCTGCAACTTTTCGTTACAATAGTTTATGCAGAATTGCTCATAAGAATTTACATCCAATGATTCTGAAATATTTCAAAAAGTCAAAGATTTTTGTACGAATTGCTTTTTAGTCTTATTATTTGAAGATGTTGGTTTTTTTACAAAGCATTTATGAATTAGGAGAGATTTTAGATGAGTTTGAAACATTTACAGAGAATTAAACTACACTGAAAGAGATGATAGGATGCAGACATGGACAATTACGACACTTTCACGTGCCAAAACAAGTGAAAATACTTTTTTTTTCCCCAAATACTTCAGAAACTTTATAATGAGTTACTGGAACAAAAGCAAAAATACCGAAACCAGCCGTGTCTAATACGCCAATTGAAAAGGCTGTTTCGTCGAAAAGCATACATTCTGTGATTTTGTTCACGATTGCAGTAAACAAACGGCTATAGATGGCTTTGGAGAGGGCGTCACGTGCCGCATTTGCTTCGCTAGCGCGCAATGGTACTCTATAATCCAGAATGCAGTAAGTGCAAAACATTCTTAAATTTCGACCTGGACTTCTCCTGAATTGGATAAGTGAGATTGTGCTTATAAGAGGCAAATGGGAATTAGAGAGATGCAATGCTCTTATCATATCTGATAACAAAATAATCAAAACTATGAAATCAAAGAGAGAAGGATGTGCGATTTCAGCAAAGTTAAATGGGTATTGGAAGTATTCGTGGGCGGAAATAACGATTAAATACATGTCACCATGAAGCCTCTTGGAGTGAATTTGCAAATTAAGTTGAAAAGGAAGATTTTAAAAAATTCATGAATTAAGGTCCTAAACGAATGATTATCTCTTGATCACCGGCTTTGTAGAATCCTCCGGTGTAGTTAGAAATACTGGTAATTTGAAGCGATTATTCAAGTTAGTAATGGGATACAATTGAAAAATGCAGTGATGAGAAAGTAAATTTTGAGTGAAATGTTCATACAATTCTTTTTCATCTTCAGTAGATTTCTATAAAAAATCGCAAAAAGATAGAAATGAACAACTAACGCATAAAGTGTCCCTTTAGTGCCACCTCTAGTCGGTTGCATCAGTCGGGTCACAAGATGTTTCCTCAGATCGGCGACTTCGATGCCAAGTAATTCAGCTGTATTAATCAGATACATTTCACTTTCTTCTCTAAGACTACAACCGCCTGTAATTTATATTACACGTTGAAAAACTCTTTTTCCCTAATTTTTACGAAATCTATTCAATGCCTCGTCATTATTTTTACAGTTATCTTAAAATTATCTATCGAATTTTTTTTTTTTATCTCAGTTATAATCAATTAGAAGCATTCTGATCTCCTTATAAGGCCTAGAATTTTTATTCAGTCTGTAATTCATTCGTACGGCACTTCCAAATAGCTATATTATCAGGTGCACTCTAACAAAAAAAGGTGAACTTTTCTTTGATTCAAAATATTTATAATCTAATTTTACAATTTGAAAATTTATAGCCTGATCTGAATTCAAAATTTAGCTACATTCAAGTTCACATTAGTGATTAATATGGTCGAAACTCTGTTCAAAGTTTAATTAAGGTCCAATCTTAATTGATATTATCATCTGATAAATCTTATAGCTAAGGATTACTTTTGAAACCGACTGTTTCATCTAAAAATTCGATATTTCCAAGATGTAAAACTGCGGCGACTATTTCGAACACCACATCTCGAATATCTGCTGAGATATTAATGTGACTGAATGCATCCAACAGTTTTCGGAAATCATTGTAATCATCAATTAGATCGTCTCTCATATCATCCTCAAATGTCATTTTTAAAAGAGGCGAAAAATTCATTCCTGCTTCTAAATCAATTATTGGAGAAATAACTATGTTCCAGAAAGCCTCCAGAACTAATTTTTCCTTCCAAAAGTACAAATCAAGCAATTACATAAATTGCTGCGGGTTCAAATGAAAATAACATAAGAATTGATCTCAACAAGATAAATTGCCATTCTTACCAAATCATAATTTTTTCTTCCCGGTACCACTTTACTCGAGCTTTCCTCGTTCAGGAAGAATTGCATGCATCCTTTATTAAGATACTAAAATGATAAATTTCGCTAAAATATATAGATAAATTAAAAATTCGAAAAGATCAGTTTTAAAATAAAAATAAATGAAAGAGTAACCGCGCTTCAAAGTAACCAACATTGAAATTTTCGAGTTTATTCAATTTTAATTTGTTTGCCATTTGGTCGTCAGCACCCGCAATCAACTGATAAAATATATGATAATTTCTTTCACACGCACTTTGTCCACAGAGGCGTGAACGTTCCAGTAAATAGTGAGATACAGAGCCACCCACAATAATACCCTAATTATAGTACAATAATTATAGTGAATAAATTGTAGCAAATACATATTCTAAATGCTGTATAGAAAGCAGGAAACTTTTTTGCTCACGATTTAAGCAAAATATGAAAGTACAAGTATGAATTGTGATATATGAAAAGGAAGTTTATGCAAGAATTCGTTTTGCAAATTGTGACGTAATGTCAAAGCATTGATAACTACACCAAACTGCCTGATTCTTGCTTTATTGCTGATGTTTTGAAAATGCTAAAGTATTTCTGAAATGCTGACTTCTCTCTGATTAGAAACACATCCTTTGAAACCTGTTGAATTCAGGATACATCCTGTGTATCTTTTGAAGCTACTTTATATACTACAAAAGTTTCCTGGTCATTTTGAAACGTTCCGTCATTTTGTGCCCAGTATCAGTTACTCGTGCTGGAAAAGCTGAATGCTACGAATTTCTGCGCCATGAAAATTACAGCCTAACCTTGTCATTGAAATATATTTCAATGAATTTGCCAAATCGACTGCTGTTATTGTTGCATACTGTTTTTGCATTTCCAAATGATTCCAAAATTGTGCTTACTAAATTTCGAATAATTACAAGCATGTTCAATTTTACTTAATAATTTGAAATCTGATAACTGGAATGGATGTTGACATATTTTAATTCGATTTTCTTTGGAACTGCTGCAATCCGGACGAGCTGCCTAGTAACGTTTACTTTTTTATTCGCAAAGTTTTGTATGCCAATAAAAAGCAGAAAGAAACAAATAGAACTATTTATAAGTAATGAAAGTTTTCTGTATATACGGAAGTGTTTCGACGTTATACATCAGTCAGCTTCAGCTTCACTTACCGAGTGCCGAATGAGTAATTAAATTATTACAAATGCTTCGTTACATGCTACATGAACTGACGGATCATGCAAACTATCGTCTAACCTTGCTAATGAAAATAATTTCATTAAATGCTTGCTGATCACTTCTGAAGACTCTGTAATGGCATCAACCAAATCTTTCTTCCTTCCTGACTACTATACAAAAATCACTGCATTCATGTTATTTAATTGAAATTTTAGTTCAAATATTTACTTTCTAAAATGCGTTGCTCAATTGTGTTAACAAGATGACCCCAGGATTCGCATAAAAATCGGATTACGTGCTTCTGAGATTCAGTTTTACCAGCTCCGGATTCTCCCGATATTATGACTGATTGAGATTCATGATTACGCATCATATCCCGATAAGCTTTATCAGCTCAAAATAATTACGTTTACATATAGCCACATCTACATTTTGCGAATAATCTTTCTCAACTTGAATTATATCATTTTGAAATTCTATTTGCCCGATTGTTATTGGACTCCTATCATTGCTTTGATTTGCATATCACTCAACAATTACCAATTGCAAATATATGTGGAGGCAAAGTTCCCAGTGATTGTCCTTTGTACTTTCGCACCATATCGATATCGTATAAGCCAGAAATTTGCTCGTACGGATTGATCGCGATGAGTATATTAGCTACATAAGTCTGAAAAGGTCTCAGCGTTATTCTCAAAAAACTAGAAACAATCGGTTTTACTTCACGTCAATATTCAATTATACTTTTAGAGGGTAGCATTCCTGTTTGAGATTGAAATACGTGACACATGACTGTCTCTTCATCCTCGATGAAATGTTTAAGTGAACTAACCTAGGCAAGGGCTTAAAATGTTTTGCTTAGACTGCACAGAAAATAATATTCCGAGGTTTAAAGATTTCGAAAACTAACAACGAAATTTGGTAATAAGTGAAATTTACGTAAAACTGTTTGCGATTATAGCGCAAACGACAATTGTTCAGAAGAGAACCGTCATTCAGGTGAATCAGTGAACCTGAAAATGACTATATGTCTGGGGTCATTCCTATATTTTTCTAAACAAGTTCAATTTCCGCTTCTCTAAACTGCTTCATTTTGTTTCAATCAAGCACAAAATATACATTCCGCGTCGAAAAAAATCTGTAGTAAGTGAATGCTATGGGGAACATTGTATTGATCTGTAGGGAAAAATTTTCTGCTTTAATGATAAAATGCTTACAGTTATCATCGACGTCTCGACTGATATCATCCCCAGCAGGAAAAATATTATCGTAAAAAGCTTGGAACTGAAACATTTAATTTAATTAAAGTTTGGTTGCCTCGGAAAAGGTCACAAATAATTTATTCAAATGGAGCTTTCTCGAAATCTAAGCAATGCTCATACCGTTTCTGTTTCGTGCAATCGCTGTAGTGTCACCCATTCACAACCGATGTCAATAATTTTGCATAAAATGAATCCATCTTTATCATCAGG